TTAAAAAAATGTTTAATCCCACACACGATATATATATATATATATATATATATATATATATATATTACTACACACACTACCAGTCAAAGGTTTTTAATGTTTTTGAAACAAGTATCTTCTGCTCACTAAGGCTGCAGTATAGTAATATTGAGAAATATTATTTAAGTTTAAAATAAATGTTTTCTATGTGAATATCTGTTAAAATGTAATTGATTTCTGTGATCAAAGCTGAATTTTCAGCATCATTACTCCAGTCTTCAGTGTCACATGATCCTTCAGAAATCATTCTAATATGCTGATTTTCTGCTCTGTTATGATTACTGGTGCTCAATCACGGTTCTTATTATTATCATCAATATTGAACACATTTTTCTGCTTTATATTTTGGTGTAAATCATGATACATTTTACTTTTCAGCATAAATTTCATAAATACATTTTAGCATAAATATTTCAAATAAATCAGCATTTATTTGAAATAAAATCTTTTGTAACATTATAAATGTCTTTACTGCCACTTTTGATCAATTTTATTTGTCCTTGTTGAATAAAAGTATTTATTAAAAAACACTTTCGTTTTTTTATTGTATTTTTAAATGGTAATATATTATTGGGTTCCACAAAAAAAAAAGAAGAAAAAAAAAAAAGCACAGCTGCTTTCTATATTGATAATCAGAAATGTTTCTTGAGCAGCAAATCAGCATATTAGAATGATTTCACTGAAGACTGGAGTAATGATGCTGAAAATTCAGCTTTGAATCACAGGAATAAATTATTTTAAAATGTATTCACATAAAAAAACGTATTATAAATTGAAATAATATTTCACAATATTACTGTTTTTATTGTATTTTTGATCAAATAAATGTAGCCTTAGTAAGCATAAGAGACTTCTTTCAAAAACATTAACAAATCTTAATGATCCCAAACTTTGACCAGTTATAGGTCTATGTTTTAAATTAACCATTCAATTTGACAGTAATGCAATGATGATAATCTTGGATAATGCCATTTAAAAAAATGTTTAATGCCATACACGACCCATATATATATATATATTATATATATATATATATATATATATTACTACACACACTACCAGTCAAAGGTTTTTAATGTTTTTGAAACAAGTATCTTCTGCTCACTAAGGCTGCAGTATAGTAATATTGAGAAATATTATTTAAGTTTAAAATAAATGTTTTCTATGTGAATATCTGTTAAAATGTAATTGATTTCTGTGATCAAAGCTGAATTTTCAGCATCATTCCTCCAGTCTTCAGTGTCACATGATCCTTCAGAAATCATTCTAATATGCTGATTTTCTGCTCTGTTATGATTACTGGTGCTCAATCACGGTTCTTATTATTATCATCAATATTGAACACATTTTTCTGCTTTATATTTTGGTGTAAATCATGATACATTTTACTTTTCAGCATAAATTTCATAAATACATTTTAGCATAAATATTTCAAATAAATCAGCATTTATTTGAAATAAAATCTTTTGTAACATTATAAATGTCTTTACTGTCACTTTTGATCAATTTTATTTGTCCTTGTTGAATAAAAGTATTTATT